GGTGTTTTCTTCATGTTTGAGAAAAACTGAAGCCAACTGTTTGATAAATTCCACAGTCTCTGTGGGAAGCCAAAGACTGGAGGAAGAAAAAATAACCTTTGGTTTTATTATTTGGTGTTTCTGGGACAGCTTACCTATCACTTTCCAGTGCCATCCAGCTTCCTGGCTCTTCACAGCCTCCGTGATGTATGTAGCCATGGCTGGCCTTGAACTTACCATGTAGCCCAGGCTAGCTACTTACTTCTGATCCTCCTGCCTCTGCCTCCTGGGATTGCAGATTTGTGCTACCATGCCTGACTAAGAGGGCTTGTTCTGAGGATGCGCTGTTTCCCTCTGTGGCTCAGGCCTGGTTCTCCTCTGCCACTGAGGGATATCTCTCAGCTCCCAGGAGAGAACACATCTCATAAATGTCATAAATGTGCGTTTCCTGCTTTGCTCCCCCCCCCCCGCCCCTTTCCTCTCACCCTCTACTGCCTCAGGGAGAGGACCTCTCACCAGGTGTGGAAAAGTCAGGATGGAAGAGGTGTGATGGTCCAGGAATAGGTGGCAACTTCAGAGTTCTGAGAACCCTCACATTTGGTTATGGATGGGAGCCAGAATGGTTCCAGGGAACAGGGGAGCAACTGACCTCAGGGGTCAAAAGGCGCTAGCTCTGTGGCCCATTTTGTGAGGGCAATGACATAGCAGGTAAAGGTGCCAAGCCTGATGATCCCGGTTCGATCACCAGCACCTACACAGTGGAAAGAGAGAGAGTGAAAGAGAGGGGACACCCCACCTCCTATCCCAGTCTGTGTGCTCAGGACCCAGAACCAGGCTTATTCTTTGTTTCTCCCCTACACTTTACCACCTCCCCAAATCTTCCTTACGATAACAGGTGAACACCTCCTTTCTGTGAGGAGACAGATTCACAAAACACCTCTGCCCTCAAGTGTTTAATGCATCCAAAATATGAACCTGTTAAAATTTTGTAATTAGGATTACTTACCATTCTTCTGATGAAGACACTAGAAACCTCAGCTGTGGTTCCCAAGATGAAAGTCATATTTGGTATTCACAGGGCCATGCGCCAGCCTCTTGATGCCCTCCAGTCTGGTTCACCACCCTGGTACTGCCCCTAGTCCTCCTGGGTAGAAGAGTAGACCTTCTGTGTTGGAAGAATTTACTGTGATTCCCTTTTGTATCAGATGGGAAACCCTGTGGTAAAGAACTTGGTGCAACATCGGAATCTTCCAACAAAGTGGTCCTAGCTTCCTAGCCTGGAAAACAGCTCAAATAACACCCTAATGTCCTAACAAAGAAATGGGTTTGCTCCCCTTCACTCTCTCTTTCCTTCATTTTGAGATATGGTCTGGCTAAGCAGCCCTAGCTGGAATGGAACCCCGTGTAAACCGTATAGACCAAGCTGTCCTCAAACTTGCAGGCAACCTCCTGCCCCTCCTCTGTCCCTATCTCTGCTCTTTTCTCCCTTTGGATAGGGTCTCACACTACAGCCCAGGCTACGCCAGAATTCGTGACAATTCTTCTGCCTCAGTCTCCCAAGTTCTGGGATTGTATGTGTGAGCTGCTCTGCGTGGTCTGAAGAACTGGATTTTAAGATTTAAGGAGCTCAGATTTAAATATTAGCCTACAGATGGTGTAGGTGAAGACGACTCAGCCCCAACGCCCACCCGCATCCCTACCAGAACACTACCTAACCCCCTTGAACCACAGGGCTGGGGGCCACATTCCTGGAGGTTTCAGGGACCTGTTTCTAATTGTCGCGTCCAGGAATACAGAGCCCGTGCGCTTCTACCCCTGATCTCGCCCTGCGCCACCAGAGGCCGCTGCGTGCCAGTTGCGCTCATCCTCCCCGCAGAGCGCCCCACGCTGTCTCGAAGGAGGCGGCCGTACCCGCAAGGGTTGAAGCTGCGGAGACGAGACGACTCCCAAGACAAGTGGCTGCGCGCTCCCCAGCCTGAAGGCCGCAAGCTCTGGAGGACCCGGCTGACCCCTCCCCCCTAGGGCTGGTGGGTCCAGGCCCGGAGCATCCCGGTGCTCAGAGCTGAGTTCACTGGGATGCCGGTTTAGCCATTGCCCTGTTCTCCCGGGGCACAGCAACTTGATAACGACTGATCGATCACAGACGGAGCTCGGGACCAGACAACACCCGACCTGGCAACTCCGGGGAAGAGCCCGCCTTTGAGTCTCGATCACAAGCTCAGAGGCATCAAGGACCTCAGGCCAGAAGGTTGAACCAGGACCACTGCTCTGGAGCAGGTGGGTACCAGGATTAAGAATGGGCGCTGAAAGGGGGCAGGAGCAAGCAAAGCAAGGTCAAAGGTTGTTGCTGACCCCTTGCAGGCTGCTCTTTCAGCATCACCCCATTGGAGAATGGGAAAAACAGCCCCAGGAAACTGAGGTAGACGCTTAAGAACAAATCCCAGAAGCCTCCTCCTCCAGCATTGAAGGAGGAGAGAATAGAATGCCCGAAATCCTGAGTCCCCATCTCCCCAAGTTCTCTGAGCATTGGAGTACCTAGGAGAAATGCTGAGTTAGATGGGACCCTGGGAACACTCAGACAGACATAGGATGTCACCAGGAGAAGAACGGCGTTTGCAATGATCAAAATGAGCCCCCCTCCCTGCCACCTGGCAGACTGGAAGAGGAGACCCACTCAGAAAAGAGGAAAATCTAGAAGGGTGGAAACACACCCACCCCCTCCACCACCCTCGTTCCCCTCTCTGGGCCTTTCCAGAGCTCGGCAGCTTGTGTGTTTCAGTATTACTTCTCAGTGGAAACTGAGCGAGGACAGGATCTTGGGGGAGAATGGAGAAGCTCTTGTGGGCTGTGCACTGAAGCCAAGACCTGTTGCACCACTAGGCTAGCCCACTGGAAGGACAGTTGTAGAATTAAGCCAGCTCCAGAAGAGTCCAGGAAGCTCATGATGGGTTGGAGGTGGAGGCAAGGGGAATTTGAAGACCTCGGGATTCTCCCCCAGGGGAGACAAAGCTATCAGAGTCTGTATGTGTCTCTGCCCTATCTCTGTCCCAAGACCAGAGAGGTGACAGCCCAGATCCTTATGGCCTCTCAACTCTGCTTCACTCCTGGGAAAAAGAAAACCCAGCCTCTTGTTTCAGGGTCACCTCCCCCTCAGCTTTCCAAAGTCTGGGGGAGGAGGGCAGGGGAGTAGGGACAGATCCCCAGAGCAGAAATGACCGCCGTTGTCACAGGAACAGCCTAAGCTGTCCATCCCATTCCCTTATTCTCATCCAAGTCCAAGCTTTCTCTTAGCTTCTGCAGGGGCCTGGACTCTCTCTGTTCTGAATTTACCTCCAAATTGCTCCCTACTTATCCAGGTGGAATGAATCTGAGACCAGCAGATGCACAGACAGAAGCCTAAAGACTCCATGAACGGTAAGTGAGACAGCTGGAGATGGGACTCGAGGAGAGGACATCCCCTCCAAGGGAGCAGCTATGTCTCTTGGTCTGGCCCCTGGTATTCCCAGTCTGAGCTGGCGCTTGCAGGGGCCAGTAATCTAGGCCAACCCTTGACCTCCTCCTGGGGTTCTTCCTGTCCTCATCTGTGGCTAGTTTCTCCCAGCGCCTTTGTGCTTCCGTTTCCCTGGTTTCTCTCTGGTTTTTTCGCACCCTCTGATATAGATGTCTGAGGTCCTCTTTGGTTCCCAGGAGAAAGGAGGAAGAGAGCAATGAGCCTAAGGTAGACTTCTGGGTCCCAAGTTCACATGCCGTCAACCTCGGGCAAAACATTTAACTTCTAGCCTAGGTTTGTCTCTTCCTTCTTTCCTTTATTTAGTTCAGTATGTGCACCCACGTGAAGGCCAGGGGAAGCTGTCTAGCAGACGCCTCCTGCCTTGCTACTCTCCACCTTACTCGCTTTAGACGGGGTCTTTTCCCTGAATCTATCACTAGGCTGTCCAGTGATCCAGCGATCTTTTTACATCGTCTAGATTTTTACATCTGTGTTGCTATTCTCACATTTGCTCAGCAAGTCCTCTTACTCACTGAGCCATCCCCCTCAGCCCCGTGTTTTGCTTTCGTTTGTTGGAGATGGGATCTTCCTATTTAGCCCTGGCTAGCTTGGAGTTCACCGTGTAAACCAGGCTGGCCTCACACTACCAATGATCCCTCTTGCTGCTGCTGCCTCTGAAGTGCTAGGATTACATGCATCTACCCCTCTCTCTTTCTTTCTTTCAAAAATTTAAATCATGATCAGATTGAATTGCACTGCTGCTACAGTCCCACGATTTGAAACTCAAATACATAAAAAGAAAGAAATTGGTGGGAAAAAAATAATTCTTCCTCCTACTTCTATCTTCTAGACAAGAAACAATTTCCCTTTTTAATGGCAAACAATATACACTTTCCGGACATGATGTGTACATATTAAGTAAAACACGCCCTGCCTTGTGTGTACACACCTCCTGCTTGTTGCTCCCCCTGCCCCCATAAGGCTGGATTCTCACTAGAGTCTACCGCACACGTCATTGCAGAGGTCTTGGATGGTTTTGGTTGTGTTGTGTTCTGTTCTGTATTCCCAGCAATTTGGAGGGAACGCATTTTCAGATTCTCCACAGTGTCCTCAGCTCCTCTGCTGACACCTGTGGGGGTCATAGCCAAACTTTTTGAGTTTTATTTGTAACACGGGCAATGGCAATCCTTTGTGCTGCGGAATGCAGTCAAGAGCACACAGTGAGGTGTCTGGATGGAGAGCTCAAAAAGTGGGAGTCAGCATGTTGTCTCCCACATGGCACAGCCCTTTAGTTCGCTCTGTAAAATCTCTTAAATATCTCCTTCACAGGCCCTGCCTTCCTGTCCCCTGGTCCTTCTGTATCACTCGTCAGAGACAGTGGCATTGTTCCTGGCTGCAAGCTGCCTGGGGACAAGGTATGCATTCTGTTTAACCTTGGGGCTTCTAGAGCAGGGCACAGAGAAGGGGCTGAACCTGAGGGCAGGGGACCGTCTGCCCTGAGCTAAGCGGGGTATGTACTTCTCTCCACAGGATGAGTGAGCGGACCACGAGCAACTGGAGCCCAGGCAGCTGGGTGCTAGCGCTGTGCCTGGCCTGGCTGTGGACACGGCTGGCCTCTGCTTCCTTGCAGCCTCCCACAGCCACAGGTTTGGGGAAGGTGGTGAGAGACTAGAGAGGACTTTCCTAGGACATCTGGAGAGCTAGAAGGCACTCCAACCCACCCCACAAAGCAGGCAGATCTCTGGGGCAGAGTAAACTTTGCAGAGGTGACTCCTCTGGCCACCGCCCAGGAAACTGCCCTCTTCTTGCGGCCCAGTCCAGAGAAGGCCTGGGTAGACACATTGGTACTATCCTTTCCAGGGGGAAGGTGCTCTACAGTGAGAGGCCCTCGGTGGAGGCTTAAGTCTAGTCTCCTGGCCTAATTCTGGGGTTTTCCTTCTGGGATGGCTAAAGCCTCTGTAAGCGGATGATCCTCCCCCACGCATTGTAAGCCCTGGGGCCCTTGCCCTCACCCTGAGAAAGTGGAAGGTGGGGGCTGGTGTGTAACTCCAGCTTTCAAAGAGTCCAAAGAGTCGTGAGTGTGGCCTCAGCGGGGTGGGGTGGGGTAGGGAGGTAACGCAAAGGTTTCATCTGCTCTTCTCTCTTTTACCTTTAGATCTCTCTCTCTCTCTCTCTCTCTCTCTCTCTCTCTCTCTCGTCTGTCTCTCTGTATGTGTGCATGTTGAAAGTATGAACTGAGCCCGCGCCTCTGTGCTAGGAAACACTACCACTGAGTTGCATCCCCAGCTCTGGGTATCTCTTAAATGACCTAGGAGGAGAAATTGGGAACCTGCAGCCGGGTGGGAGGGAGGAGAGCAGGTTGGAGGCCTGGGTCTCCTGACCTTTCTTCCCCGGCTGGCCCATTCAGTCCTGGTAAAGCAGGGCACCTGTGAGGTGATCTCCGCGCATCGCTGCTGCAACCGCAACCGCATCGAGGAGCGCTCCCAGACGGTCAAGTGTGCCTGCCTCTCTGGCCAGGTGGCGGGCACTACAAGGGCAAAGCCCTCCTGCGTGGACGGTGAGTGTATGGCCAGGCCCTGCGCAGCCAGGTGGGTAAGGAGGCCCAGAGCAGAGATAAGAAAGTCTGTTTAGGCCTCCCCATCTGCTGAGGATCCAGTTTCATAGCCATCTTGGGGTTTACCTTATCAGTCTCCAGTAATGGAGATCGTCTTGGAGGAGAGGGCAGACATGACCCGCCCTGTGTCCTAGAGGAAGAAAGCTCTGGTTACAGGCCACACACACCTGCCACCTGGTTCACACGTACAGGGATGCATTCCCGCACACTAGTTCCTTGGCCCACATCTTCCTCCAGAGAGGTCCTCTTCTACAAGCCCCCTCTTATTCCTAGCCTACCTTTGCCTTCTCCTTGGGGTCACATGTGATCCCTCACATTGTACACCCACGTTCCCTCTTTTCTGCCCACACCTGCTTTCCCATGCTCTGACAGCGTCTGGATCACCATGCTTACCCTCGCTAGCACGCATGCCAGCTTCTCCACTCCTGGACGTGGCTTGGACAGCAGTTTGTATGCACTAAGGAGAGCACTGATGGTGGTACCTCTCTGCTAAGGACAGCTGCCTCAGAGTCAGCATCACCTGCCTCCCAGCTTGGTGTCCTTCTGCCTTTTGGGTGTGAGGCAGTGATGAAGTTGATTGGGGTAGTCCCCAGCCCTCAGCCTAAGTACAATGCTGCCCCCTTGGACAGCTCAGGTTAGGGGGAAGAGAAGGAAAGGTGGCCATCCAAGCTCAAGCTACGTAGGCAGCTACGCCCCATTCCCGGGCTAGCTGTGCTGTGCTCCCAGAGTGTAGAGCCTCACCTGCCTCCTGCCCCACAGCTGCCATCGTCTTGCAGAAGTGGTGGTGTCAGATGGAACCCTGCCTGCTGGGGGAGGAGTGCAAGGTGCTCCCGGACCTGTCAGGGTGGAGCTGCAGCAGTGGACACAAGGTCAAAACCACCAAGGTATTGAAGCGGGTGCTTCATCCTCCCCTCCCGTTCCCCTTTCACCTGGAGTAGCACAGGGGCTAAGTCCTGGAGGGCCAGGATGGCAACGCCATGAGATGGGCATGTGACCCACAAGAACGCTTTCCAGACAGTCTCCTGAGTCTGTCTCCACTCCAGGCACTGCTGCCAAGGGTGTGGTTTGCCCTTATTGGCAAAGCTGACGTTCTGCCTGCCTTGGTTTTCTCCTCTTTGCTTAGCATGGGTTTACTACTAGAAAATATCAGGTCTTTAAAAAGAAAGTAGAGGCCGGGCAGTGGTGGCGCACACCTTTAATTCCAGCACTCGGAAGGCAGAGGCAGGCGGATCTCTGTGAGTTCGAGGCCAGCCTGGTCTACAAGAGCTAGTTCCAGGACAGGAACCAAAAGCTACGGAGAAAACCTGTCTCAAAAAAAAAAAAAAAGTAGAGCAGGTCCTAGTGGCACACATCTGTAATCTTAGCACTCAGCATGAAGGTCAGGGGTTCAAAGCTAGCCTGGGCTACATATACCTGTCTTAAAAAAGAAAGAAAGAAAAAAGAGAGAAAGAAAGAAAGAAAGAAAGAAAGAAAGAAAACCTAAGGGAGAAAAAAGTGGAGACCTAGGAAATTACCTAGGCCACTCAGGGAGGAAGTTTTCCTAATATCTGAATTCCAGACCCTGTAACCACTCTGCCTACCACCTCTACCGCAGAGTGTCCCCTGTCACTTACACTATTCTTACGGCTATTAACTCCCCGCAGTTCCTACCTACCCTCCTCTGGTCAAATTGATCTGTCCTCAGTGACAGCACCCAAGAAGATTATTATCACCATGGCTCGCTGCCTGCCCCACAAAACAGGGGGGCAATTAAAATTTAATCAAACTCTTTAGCAGTTCCATGTGTGCCTCGGCTAATTAGTTGCATGTCGTTGTCATCGTCGTCTGTGCAAATGAGTGACAGGCCAAGGCAGCGTCTCTGACCCTGTCCCCATCGTGCACAGCAAGAAGGTTAACAAACAGAAGCAAAAACAGGTTCTAGGATTCTGAGAAAAGAGGGGGGGGGGTATCATAGCACACACAACACTGGTAGCTAGCTACAGCAAGAGACAGTTTGGGGGCTGGAGAGATGGCTCATTGGTTAAGAACACTCTTGCAGAGGACCAAAGTTAATTCCTAGCACCCGCACGGCAGCTCACAACTATCTATAACTCAATCCTAAAGGATCCAATACTTTTAAGTGGCCTCCCTAGGCACCAGGCACACATGTGGTGCACAGACGTTCATTCAGATACAATATCAATAACACAAAACTTAAAAAAAAAAAAAAAAGAAAGAGGGGCTGGAGAGCTGGCCCAGTGGTTAAAAGAACTGGCTAGTCTTCCACAGTTCCTAAGTTCAGTTCCCAGCAACCACATGATGACTCACGGCCATCTATAAAGTTGGGTCTGGTGCCTTCTTCTGACATACAAGCAGACAGAGCACTGGCATACAAAAAATTTTTTAATTAAAAGTAAATAAATAAATAAATAGAGAAAGAAAGAAAGAAAGAAGAAAGAAAGAAAGAAAGAAAGAAAGAAAGAAAAGAAGAGGGTTTGGCTGATTAGAAGGCTGGAAAGCCTGTCTATAGGCAGCAAAGGGAGACAGACATTCTGAGATGCTTATCAAGACTTGCAAAGTGGGACCCATCACAGACCTTGGGACATTTGCCATACTGTTACAGGGTAGGGTTTGTAGCCTAAAAGGTAGATCACAACCTTTGCAATTTGTGTAGTGACTCAGAAGCAAACAGTGGTGACGTTTGTGCAACTGATGTCAGCATGGCCCACCAGGCCACCGTGTCCAGCTTGGACGGCTTTAGGAGACCAGCAGCAGTGACCTCTAAGTGATTTGCATGACCCAGTGCTCTCTGGCATGCTACAAAGGCTGACTCTCTGTTGATTTCTCTAACCTTCTAACCACTTGCTTTCTAGGTCACACGATAACCCTCGGGGTCATGGCTTAGACAGGACAGTCTGGATTGTCTTGATTGTCTGGATTGAAGAATGGCTTCTGGTCACACCAGCCAGCAGATGTGAGGACTCATTTACACAGACATGTAGTTCCATGTGACGTCAGACTGGCAAGTTAGTCAAACTGCTTAGCAGAAATGCTATATCTTCGGTCACATACTTGAGATATATGCTCTTTTATGAACAAAGGTAGACACCCGTAATCCTGTCCTTAAGGAATATCTTGTCAAGTTAGGGAGTGGATGACAGACATCAAACAGTTTAAAGTGTGTGGTACCATGGCCTCTGAGCTACCTACCATGGGTATGGTGGGGATGGGTGGATGAGAGTCTCATTGATCTTTGACTGTCTCCTGATCACAAGACACAAAGTCATGAAGTCCTGCATCCCCAACAAGATGCTAAGATGTTAAAGGAGACACTGTCCTCTGATGCCAAGCCAGGGTAATCTCTTTTGACAGTGCTGGAAAGTAGAGATGAGGTCCAACAACTCCTTAGCCCAGCTCTGTAGAGGCAGGGTGTGTGGCTCACACCCTTTGTTGTCTGAGGGATGGACAGGTCCTCGGGACCGTCCCCACCTGAACTTCATGTGGTTTTTGGTTTTGTTTTTGCTTGTTTTAGTGGATGAGGAAACTGAGTCACAGAGGGATGTGATGGTTTGTCCAAGATCTCACAGTTCGAGTTTCCAAAACTCAAATGCTGAGATTCCAGGCTATCTTCATGGTAATTTACTGTAGAGAGTGGAACCCTGCAAACACTGTCTAGATAGCAGCAGCATGTTTCTGGGAGATGGGACTTTGATCTCCCATCCACAAAAATCCAGAATCCCTACACACTGCAGAGTGGGGCTACATCTCAGTGCCCCAGATCCAAAAAGTTCCCATGATAGCCCAGAGGTCACTCGGCCCAGTTGCAGCTGGAGCACTGTGAGCTGGCATCCCATTGCCCTCTGGCATTTCTCTTCTGAGAGCCTCAGCCATCTCCCTAGATAGGTACCTGGAAAGGAGCGAGTTAGGCAGAGTACATCTCAAAGTTGAAGGTCTTCAGGTTGGCCTGATAGATGGCTTGGGAGTAGCATCCTGGCTTACACTCCTCATCAAGGCCTTAGGGAGTAGGGTGTGTTAGAGACCAGCCTGGACGATGCCCCATTCCTGAGAAGGCAAATCAGGGATAGTTTGGGATGGAGTCTTAGCTTCCCCTATCTCCCTAAGCATTTGACTAAGACTCTGATATCACCCCATCTTGGGGCTTATTTTTGTTTTTGCTAAATGAGATGAGCGGTAATGTTAAGGCAGGCCTCTAACAGTCTCTGCGTACAGCAGGGCCACAGGCTAGGGCGCCCATGGAGAGGTCAAAGGCTGTCACAGTCTCCTTCCACACTGAAGAGTGGAGGTCGGAGGGTAGGAGGAGGGGTTGGCAAATATTTTCTGGAAAGAGCCGGTAGATGAATCTGCTATATTCTGCGGACCACATTGAGTCTTTGTGACATATCCTTTGTTTTGTCTCGTTGTGTTTTAAAAACATTGCAGAACTGTCAACGCCACCTTTAGCTCTAGGGTGGAAGAAACACCTCGTGACCCATTTCAGGTGTTTGTCACCCCTGACACCCAAGGGACAGCTGAAGGCCTGGGACGGCCTCTCAGCCTCCTGGCTTGCCCTCTGGGCCCTGGAAACCTGAGCACAGGGCGAGGGCTGGCTTTGTTTTTCTCCTAATGCTCAGGGAGAGATGGGCGAGTGAATTATTCAGGTTACAAATGAGACAGCTTTGGCGGAGCAGACAGGAAAGCCTGCTTTCCTGGAGGTGGGAAGACAGGTTCTGCAGGCTGCTTTGGAGCCCAGCGGCAGAATGCTGGAAGAAAAGGGGGGCTCTCTTGCCCCTCCTTCCTGGACAGTGTCCCCCTCTTGCTTCTCCCCACCCCACCAGCTGTGCCATCCACGTGAGCTGAGAGCTACCAGCCTCCCGCAGCCCCCACCTGCCTTAGTGTCCTGATTCTGTACCTCCCTCGGTCCCCAATTCATTGTGTAAAGTCCTCCAGGCCTTCCCTGCTCCTGACCTGGCCATGAGGTTGAGTTTATTTGGTAAACTCTGAGGCGTCTATGTATGACCAGGAGAATACCCCATAAGAAGGTCTGGCAAAGAAGAGAAACTGTTCTGCCTCCCTACCTCGAGCTCCCCAAAATTCTGTATCCAACCGAGTCCAAATCAGTCTGTGTCTTGTAGCTATCCAAATGACAGTTTAGAAATAAATGAGTGTCCTCGGACCATGAGGTTCCTGGAGTCCATTTTCTCCCTCTTTGGTGAAGGCACCTCAGAGCCTCTGAAGTTCGCCGGAACCCTGAGACCCTCAGCTCCACAGGCCTTAGGGAAGTTGACAACTTTAAATCACGTACCTGATGACTGCTGGCCTCCTGGCAGTTTCATTAAAGTCTGTGAGTGACATTCTGGCTAATAACCCCAGACAGCTCCACAGCACTGAGACCGCAGCTCCCTAAAACCACAGAATTACAGTTGCGAGGCGTTTGAGAAGCCAGCTTGCCAACCCTTTCATTTGCCAGCCGAGGAGAGAGGAGTTCAGAAAGGTTAAGTAATTCGGTCACACGCAGTCACACAACAAGCTGATGGCATGCCCTGCCCAGCGAAGCAACGCTGAGTTCTTTCCACCATTATGTATCTCATTTTGTACCCTGGAATAGATGGGGACTGAGAAGGAAGACAGGGTGAGAGTCCCACTCTAGAATCACCCAAAGCGGTGAGGGCAAGCAGTAGAGGGGAGAGGAAAGGGAAGAGGAATGGGAACAGGTAGAGGAAATACACAGAGGGAGGAAGGGGGCGGGGTGAACATCACCACTTCAGGACTTCAAACCACAGAACAAAATTGAACAAGACTGATGTCGCCTGGAGAAGAACGGATCTTGGTCCTTTCTGGACGAGGCAGCATGCAGCCCTGTCAGTCCTTGGCAAACTGGGCATGGTGGTGCATACCTACGACCCTAGCACTTAGGAAGCCGAAACAGGAGGATGGGGAGATAAAGGCCAGTCTGGACCACACAGGGACCCTGTCAAAAGAAAAACAAGAACAACCGAAAGAGAATGGGAAGCCTGTGGCACTGTGACGCCATCTTGGGGCTCCCAGGTTCTTTATGTCCTGTGCAAAGCACATGGTTTTTTTTTTTTTTTTTTTTTTTTTGCAAATGAATGTTATTGAAGCATAGGCTAGGCTTATTTGCTTACTACTGGCTATGACTATCTTTGTGCTGTGACAACATACATGAGTCATTGGGAAGAGACCACAGGACTCTCAAAATGAAAATAAATTCCGTGGAAAATTTTTGTCAGTCTTTGCAATGTGTTTTACTGTAGCCTTTTAAAAGTGTACCCTCAGCCAGGCGATGGTGGCACACGCCTTTAATCCCAGCACTCGGGAGGTAGAGGCAGGCGGATCTCTGTGAGTTCGAGACCAGCTCTGGTCTACAGAGCTAGTTCCACAACAGGCTCCAAAGCCACAGAGAAACCCTGTCTCGAAAAACCAAATAAATAAATAAACAAATAAATAAAAAAATAAAAGTGTACCCTTGCAATCTAGAAACTGATGACTGCATTTGAGTCCTGTATTTGGGGAGCTGTAGGAGGGGGCCGCTTGTTCAGTTCGGCTGCCCAGAACCGAAATAACCACACAGATACTGTATTAATTAAATCACGGCTTGGCCCATTAGCTCTAACTTCTTATTGGCTAACTCTTATATTAACTTAACCCATTTCTATTAATTTGTATATTGCCACATGGCAGTGGTTTACCGCAAAGATTCTAATTGGCGTCTGTCTCAGGCAGAGGATCCATGGCATTTCCCTTACTCCACCCTTCTTCCTCCCAGCATTCAGTTCGTCTTCTCTGCCTACCTAAGTTCTGCCCTATCAACAGGCCAAGGCAGTTTCTTCATTCATTAATGCTAAGCACAGCACACAGAGGGGACTCCCACACCAGGGAGCTTTGTTTTTTCTTTTGATCCTGTGCCCATGTACCCTTAAATCCTTTTCAGTGTCTCTTGTGATATCTAACAACAACAAAACCCAGAGACATAAAGCCTAAGGCAGTCCAAGGGAAAGGCCCGGGGCAGATGACGCCACTCAGATGCATCAGGGTTCACATCAGTTCAGTTACTCCTTCCCCAGTTCATGCAGCTACTATATTTGAACTTCAGCAAGATAACTGCACATGCACCCTTGTGTAAAGATAGGGTTGTGCAGGTATGTGTGCAACTGGCATTTCTGTATCTGTGGAGTTTGGCATCTCCATGCCCTCAATTGAGCATGATGCTCAGAATGTATAGAAACGAGCTCAGCCTTGACACTGACGGAGGCTAGGGCACACTGGCTGTTCACAGTCCAGCACACAGTATACACTCCCACTCCACCCGTGTGGTTGAGATGGGTGAGCGTGAGTAGCTAGCTGGTCCTTGAAGTCAGTCCTTGGGATGTGATTTGTCACCAAGCGTGAGTGTGGGATGGGCACAGGCCAGCAGCTATGGGACCTGTGTGGCTGTAAATGTATTTGGAGTAGACACGTGGGCTGAGCATACAGAGGACCAGAGAACTTTTCAAACCACTCCTGAGGGCAGAGATTCCCTTTATCCTCCTCCACAGCATCAAAGCCATTACCATGAAAATGGCTCTTGTTGTCTGACATGACACACACAATGCCCCGGCCAAGCATCCTGGTCTGTCCTAAGCACAGACGGGCAGACAGTCCAACTCTGAGTTGTTCATTTGTTGTTACTGCTTCTGGGTTTTTGTTTCTTTTCTTTTCTTTTGTTGTTTTCTTGAGACAGGTTTCTTCTGTGTAGCCCTGGCTGTCCTGGAACTCGTGCTATAGACAGGGCTGGCCTCGAACTCAGAGATCTGTCTGCCTCTGCCTCCCAGGTGGGGGTGGGCGCAGGGCAAGGGTTGGGGCAGGACGAGTTCTATGAATTGAAGACTAGCCTGGATTATGTACCGAGTTTCAATCCAGCCTGTCTCAGAACAAAAC